TTTTAATTTTTTTAATATTTAATTTTTTATAAATGTTTTAAATGTTGTATATTTTTTTATTTATTCATTCATTTTTTATTAAACATTTTTATATTCTACTTTACTTTTAGGGGCTTTGGGGAAATATTAGGGGTCTAAACAGACACCTATTTCCCTTTTAAAATAGAAAAAGAGATTGATGACACAAAAGTCCTCAATTTCTTTTTCTGTATCCCCTGTTATCAATGAACAGGAATCCTCTACACCGAGTGTTCTTGTTCATTGATAACATGAGTATTGTTCTTGTTCATTGATAACATTGTATGTTTACCACAACTACAACTATGAATGAACAGAAGGTGATGTAGATCACTCCCATTTCATAATTGAGGATATAGTACACATACCATGTCCTCAATTATCTACAAACACCCAGCAATCACTGAATGTTTGTACTCGCTCTCCTCTCTGACACGCTGTCACAGGAGGCTGAGTGAGTGGTGTAGGGGGGAGAGTTCAGCCTCCTGTGGCAGCGTGGCCTGTCTACGCCCATACACCACTCTGCCGGACTGTGATAGGAGGCTGAGCGTTATGGGAGGAGACGCCGGCCGCTCACACAGTTTCTCTCCTCCCTGCTGGGACAGAGCGGGGAGGAAAGAAAGCAGGGATACGCCGATGTATCTGCAGGAAAATGGCACTTTCGGCATTATGTCAAAAGTGCAATTTTCGGCCGATATATCGGTGCATCCCTAATTTTTAACCAAGCTATGCTGCTGCAGTGAAAAGGCAAAGACCTGGCTGTATTGACTGGACGGTACTGCACTGAATTACAAATCCTTCGGCTGATAAAACGGAGACGGCCTTAAAAAGTATAAGAAAGGTGAAATCTAATCTCCTGACATGCATAATTGTTCACGGTTAAGCGTATCATAGCCAGGATTCAGCCTGTAAATGAGAATTGTCTTTTCATTTGATAGAGCTTGGGAGTTTACCTGAAGGTAGCTGTTTCCTGCTGAATCATCCAGCATCAAATGAACTTTCATCTGACCTTCTAGGATCTGCAGTTAGAATATAGACAGGCAATGTCAATGACAGCAAGTAAGAGGTTATATACACATTTCCAGCTTAAAAGAGACTGTCACCACCTCATACATGTGTGACAAACTGATCTTCAAAGACTGCCTGTAGATCACATGAAGCTTCCCCCGCCACCATTAGGAGTACGAGTGTCGTCAGGACTGTGGAAGAGGCGCAGGAAGCATTAGAGTGAAGGCACAGCTTCCCAGAATTGGAGGAGAAGATAAGTATCAGCACTGTTAACAGCTGTTCTATTGTGAGCAGATTTACATGACCCTTCAATCCTCACATGCAAAGGTGGTGACAGGGTCTCTAAAGTTATCGCTAAACCACTCAATACTGGCGGGAGTGAAAACCATGAGCTCATAAGGTCATAGTGTTTGAAAAACTAAACCTATAAATCTTAAAGAATGAATAGGGTCACCCCCAAACTGCTCTGTTATCATGTACTCCAAACATTCAGTGTGTATACACATTCTTCTATTGTACGATCTAATGAGAAAAGAATGAGAATGAAAATAAAGTCCACTATGAGGCATGGAAAGGAGATGAGGAGGAGATTTGTAGTCCACATCAGCAGCTTCCATTCCCATAAAAAAAAAAAAAAAAAAAAATGATGCTTTCACTGGAAGACACAGCTCAAAAGGAATACATTGCTTGCCTACAAGGGTATGGACCGTGAAATCTGACAGTTGTTTTCTTGCCTATGTACTGGCTAAACAAAAATCGAATCATTCTGTTCAGGTAGAATATGAGGCTTTAAAAAAGGTACCTGATCAATTTTCTTGCCAAATTCCTGCAGCTTCTCCTTTCTATTTGATGTACAGCTGTCACCAAGGGTGAAAGGGTTCTTGTCAACCACCTGCAGAAAACATACAAAACATATGTAACATCGGTTTTACACATACTTAAAAACATGCAAACATCAAATTTCACAGATCACAAATCTGTATATAAGGAGGTTTAAAGAAGCATGATGAATTTTTACCAAGTCTCTGATGTCTTTTAGGAGTCCCTCCAGAGTAGTGAATTTTCCTCCTAGAGCTCCCATTCCTAGCTCGAATTCTAGCTCTGGGATATTGATACCACAGGTCTCAGACTGTCAAGATAAATACAGCAAGTTATTTCCAAGTGCTTTGTGCAGATCTGCCAACACAGATAATAGCACAAGTAATTTCAGTGTTAAGTATTAAAACATTTAGGCAAAACTACAGTTATCCATTTAGCTCCCTCTCCCATTGGACTCCCAGAAGTCTTATAAGCCCCAAAAGTCTTACACTCCCCTGCCCTAATCCCTACTAAGCAACTTGGCTCAGAGCCGCATAGCAGGGATCTGCCAAAAGCAGGGTAGGCAAGCATTTATCTTTAGGGGCGGGGGGGGCTGTACTGGGAAAGGGGGTAGGTTAAAGCATAACTGAACAAAATCAACAATGTTCTTTCAGTTAAAAAATATTGAAGATATTGTAAATTATTTTTATAAAATCAGTAAATATGGATTAGTTGAAATAATGACTTTTGGTCCAGATTATTGACCTCACTTTTCTATACTAAAATTAAGCAATGCAGCTTGGTTTCCTAGTTTAGTATAAGTACCAAATATATTTTGACCTGCCCAGAGAAGCAGCATTCTATACTGGGAAATATTGAGGTCTGAAAATGGTGCAAAAATTGAGACAATATTTGCAATTAGTTAATTTTGGTTTTTTTTAAAGCGCATTCTTGTACTACTTTACCAGCATTACGCTACATACCTTCAAGACATCCCTGGTGAGGTCAGATGGATCAGTGATATGGAGGGTAATTCTTGTGCCAAGAGATTCAATAGCACCTCCTGATTTGACCTGAAATATTGATTCAAAAGCAATTTACTTAACCATTTACATTACAAACTCAAGCCTTTACCTCACCCCCTGAAATTTTTAACAGAGTGGAAAAGTTAACTTTTCTGTCAAGTTTTTATTCCTGAAGAGCTCTAACTAGTGCTATAAAACACACACCTACAAAGTACAATATGAATAATACATTCATATCCTGTTGTAAATCCATAACAACTACACAATCACAGTGGTTAGAACAGAGTTGGTTGGCCGCTAGGCAATGATCCAGAGGAGCTCTGTTCTGTCTCCCAACCAAATGTCCATACCTAGAAATATTAAACTTACCTCGTTCGTTCGATGGCCACAAGCCTCACAGTTTGTAGCCATGATAACAACTTCCTTGAAATGAGGGATCTCTAGCATTCCGTCAAGGAGATTAAATGGATATACACAAAGAAAATTAAAATAATATCTTTTTAAAACACAAAAAAAAGAAGTACTATGGCGTAACCTTTTTATCCTATAGTACTCCTTAGGGTCACAGGAGGAAATCTACTGACCTCCTTCCTCGACCCAAAGCTCAGTATATTGCGGGCTTTTGCCTGCTATATACTGAGAGCGACGCAGCCGGGACGGATCCCGGCAATACTGTCACCCAGCTGGCTGATTGACAGCAGGCTCAGCAGAGCTAGCTGTGCCTGCCCCCTCCCCGTTTGTTCCTCCAGTCAGCGCTGGAGGATCGGAGGGAGGAATCCTTGCGTGGAATGGTGAGTGACAGTCACGGCTCTCTGAAGGGAAATGATCGAGAAGTGAGCGAGGGGCAGTATGTGTTCGCTCACTTCCCGATCTATAGAGCCGTCCTGGGACAGTTTCAATGGTCACACGTCAGCTCCAACTAGGAAGTTGAGTGGAAATCACTCACCTCATAGTTCTCCTGTAAGTGGAAAGCAGCCTTTTCCATTACATATTTATACTACTAGCAAGCTGATAAAAACCGGACACAAAATTGCCCGCAGCCAACAATAAAGATTTATCTTTATTTTTTGGAAAAGGCAACTTGGCTTCTGCTTCATCGTCATGGGAACTCCACTTTTCTCCAGGTTTCCATCCTACTATGTTTATGGTTCTATTGTACCTGTTTAGGCAGTCTGGAGCATAGATAAAATATTCATCCTTTCAAAGAAAAGCATCAAGTATTAAGATCAGAACTCAGTCATAATCACAGCTTCATCTATCTAGAAAGAAAGGCCACACTAAATGCTTCAACCAAGAACTTATCAATGCTTTTCGTTGGCTCTTGCAGCAAGGAGAGTGTCAATGAAAGCATGAAATACCTTTGCAGAAAACGGGAATATGAATTGCTTTAAAGGATACGCACTAACTTCATGTTGGTGGCTGCAGGAGCATTACATTCCGGGCAGTTGGTTTGGAACTGAAGCACCTATAACATAGCAAGATACTTGTGTTATCTGGTGATATTACAGTTAAATATTGGAAAAAGAGCTACAATTTTCAATTTGTATTTACCTAAGCCCATCCTCTCTACACGTATCAAAATTAAAAACACACAATCTGCAGTAAGATGCATTTGTTTAGTTACTTTATTATGTACATTCTAAAGATACAAATAAAAGATTAGAGTTTGTCGCATGCCATTTTATCAGCAGGAAGTGGTATACAGTTCTGCTGGATATAGCCAATCCCAAAACAAAAGAATACCTTACCTCATCACGGAGGTCTTCATCATTACCATCAGTTTTCTCCTCAGAATTCTGCGGGTCATTTATGCCCTGAAAAAAAAGTAATCGTACCGTATTCAATAACATTTTTATAGAAAGAAACTAACCTCCTGAAAATGCTAAAATCTCTGGCAAATATTTGAGTCAGGAACCCATGTATGCATGAAGGGCCGTCAAAACTAGCGGTTTGCATACTTGTTCTGGGTTAGTTACTCAAAGTACTGATGCATCTAAAATCACCAACACACACACACTTTTATGTTTGGTGTCCAACTGACTTAATCACAATCCCAGGCACTGCCATGGTAGGCCTGGGGTGGGTGCGATTTCAGAATGTTGGTATCTGCAGCAACTTTAGAGGAGAGCTACAGGTATGATCTGAAAGGATTTACTATAAAAAAGGTGTGGCTTGGCATACTATAACTTGAAATATAGAGGTCATCAGCACGACAAAATCAAAGTCAGTGCAAATCCATTTATTGACAGATGTCTACTCTGAGCATGATGGAGGGGACCCTGTGCGGCCCCGAAATCGCTTGACATTTTTGTGTGACATCTTCAATAAATGGATTTTCACATGCTGGTGTGCTGATGACATCCATATTTCAAGTTATATCGTGTGCACCCATTAACACTTTGGGATATCCGGGATGAAGTGCTACAGGACATTTGGACGCATGGCATACTACGGTGCCTGTTTTTATGAGAACGTGTTTAGAAATGTTCATCTGACTACAGGTATGGTTTACAAAGCTTAGAGTTGATAATCTCACCTCAATTCCTAGTAAGGAGTCCTGTTCTTTGCTTCTCCTGTAATGTGTTACTGTGAGGTTCTCATCCTTCTGGGGAGCAAATGGATTTTCCACAAAACTGTTCCCAGAGGGGTCATCTAAAAGCTAAGAAAGGAATAATTATACATATCAAAGTTTTGTAAAATCAAGCAAACCCTGCAGCTTTAACAAATTTCAATGATGGAAGGATTAACAAATAGGAAATTGTGAACTTCTGCTGATATTGACAAGCCATGTACACATTCGCATTGATGCTTACTGGGCCTTCTTAATCTTATAACTTTCCAAAGTAATCCAGCAGAAAGTTTTACAAAAAAGACAACAAATAACTGGTGCATTTACATTCTGGGCAATCCTAGTCTTGTCTACTCACAAATGTGAAGGGCGTCTCCCCATCCTTTAGGCTCTGGAGTTTTGCAATGAACGCATCAATCTTGTTTGCAACTTCAGCGTGTTCATCCTACGGTGTAACAGAAGAGATATTACCTAAAGATACACTTTGCCTACGTACTGATCATGATAGACTGGAAGGAAGAGAAGCGGGGGTGGGGAGACAAACAGAGGTAGAACAAATAATTCATGATATAACTTGGAGAATATTTGGTACATTTAGAATTGCTTCTTGATGCAGATCTTTAGACAAAGCAGAATAAGCAAAATGTGATTCATAGGAGGGGGCCTGGATTCCAATCTGGGTACTAATATAGTTTCTGTGCTTCTTGGTCTTTTGGGGAGCAGATAAAATGGACTGTTTAGGATACCTACCAGCCTGTTTCAAGAACAGTAAAAGGTGACACTAAGAGGCTATGTTTGGGCATTGTGCAACAACAAATATAGTGCCAATTTATGTAGTTTGAGTAGGGTGATGCGCACACACACACACACACACAGTTATGTCTGTCATATCCATGGAGTAAAACTAGCTTAGCCTTAAGTTATTAACTCAAAACCTACAGTATGTCAGCCCAGCTATAAACGGAATAAAAGTGCCCAATCCTTCCCCAAAAATACTATTCTATTAGCCCCATCAAAAACCTTGACTGATATATTATGCATAACCACTCTACAACCACTGCATGACAGTCACCTTCAACAAGAACAAAAGATGTTTTTTTGGAGAGTAGAAAAGAGTTCGAACAGGGTTATTCACAAAAGGGTGAAGAGTTTGGAGAAGGGAGGAGAAGATATCAAAGACAAAATAGCTGATTTGGAAAAATTCTCCATTTCAGCTCACTTTCCAGTTCAGCTATGTTGTCCTAGATTGTTCACTTCTCCTGTCTTCTCCAAACTCTTCACCCTTTAGTGAATAACCCTGCTAGCCTTTGTCTGGTTTTTATTGCTGGGGTGCATAAGCTTTAAGTGCCTTTATCCCCACTGGGTAAATTCCCTCCACTTCCTGTCCTGAATACAGTGGTCGCCAGGTCAGGAAGGAAATCTCCCCAACAGGGACACACACAAACCCCTTATAGTTCTAACCCAGTCGTCAACCTGATGGCAACCTGACCATGGCATGTAAAATATAGCCATTACACCACTCTTTCTCGATCAAAATTGTAAATGTTTTTTTTCTTTTTACACACTGCTTAAAAAGTATTTTAACACATATTTCATAGCACCCAAGACAAGAGAATGGTCAGAAATATATGCATAGACTTACCCTGCGATGAGGCTGCTCCTGCTGCAAACCCACAATTGTCCTTTCTAAGATTCCTTCAATTGTCGTAAGGGCTAAGAGAGATCAGAACATGTATAAGCTAGGACTAGATACAGTTTCTTAAAATGTAGTTGCCAGTTCTGGGAATTTTGAAATTCAGAGTTAGGACTTACCGGTAACTCTATTTCCATTAGTCTTCCAGGACAGCATCACGAGATGGAATCTCCTCCCCCACACACAGGAAACACGTCACTTAATCTGTTTAAAAGACCCTCCTCTCCCTCAGTCATCACGAGAACCGAAGGCAAGCTGGAAAAAGACAAGGCACATACAGGCAATACCACCACATCACATTAATACTACAAGCATCAATGGGCGGGCAGTTGCTGTCCTGGAAGACTAATGGAAATAGAGTTACCGGTAAGTCCTAACTCTGAATTTCCCATAACGTCTTCCAGGACAGCATCACGAGAGGATAACCAAGAACTTACCAATTAGGGCGGGACCACAGCCTGTAGTACCTTCCTTCCAAATGCCTGATCCCCTGCGGTATTGAGATCTAGGCGATAATGCTTTGCAAAGGTGGAGAAACTTGCCTTACAAACCTGTTCCGGTGTAGCACCAGCTCGTTCGGCCCAGGACGTTGCCAAAGCTCTAGTTGAATGTGCCGTCACCAAAGACGGGGGAGGAACATTTAACACTCCATAAGCTTCCATAATGGCCTGCCTCAACCACCTAGCTAAGGAGGATCTAGAAGCTTGCTTCCCCTTGGACCCACCAGAGAACAGCACAAATAGTGATTCAGATCTCCGGAAGTCCTTGGAAATCTTCAAGTACTGGAGCAAACACCGCCTCACATCTAAACAGTGAAAACCTGATTCCCTGCTCCCTACTGGTTTGGGACAGAAAGTAGGTAGAATGATCTCCTGCACCCTGTTGCACCTCGAAGCGACCTTTGGCAGAAAAGCCGGGTCTGTTCGAAGGACAACCCGATCCTCAAAAATAGACAGGAACGGTTCCTTAATGGATAGGGCCTGGAGCTCACTCACCCTACGAGCAGAAGTAATAGCTACCAAAAACACAGTTTTTAAGGTAAGGTTTCTAAGTGAGACCTTATCCAGGGGCTCAAAAGGAGCGGCTGTGAGAACCTGCAACACCGTAGACAAATTCCATTGGGGAACCGAACGGACCACCACTGGTCTAAGCCTTTCCAGGGCTTTAAAGAACCTAGCCACAAGCTGATCCCTAGCTAGTGACACCTGAAAGAAAACGCTGAGTGCTGATATCTGAACCCTCAGGGTACTAACTGCCAGCCCCATATCAGCCCCCTGTTGTAGAAAATCCAAAACGGCTGGGACTGTGTAATCTCTATGATTACGGAGCCTCCAAGAGCTGAACGTTTTCCACACTTTCCCGTATATACGCCTTGTTACTGGTTTACGACTGAACAAAAGCGTATTGATCACACCTGTGGACAGACCCCTGGCCCTTAAAATGTCTTCCTCAGATAATAAGCTGCTAGCTTGAACCTGAGGACCTGCGGATGCAGCACTGGTCCCTGCGAGATCAGATCTGGTCTGTCGGGCAGGATCCAAGGTGAGCGATCCGTGAGTGAAAGCAAAAGGGCAAACCAGGCTCTCTTCGGCCAGTATGGTGCAATCAATATTAGCTCTGTATCCTCCAACCCGAATTTCTGAAGGACTTTTGGAATTAGATGCAACGGGGGAAATGCGTAGCATAGGATGGTAGGCAAACCTACCCCTCTGCCTTACACAGGCAGGCCATACATAAAAGGAAGACTTCCCGGGCAGCATCACCACATGGAACCCCCTCTCAGCGTTCTGTGACGCGCTCCCCAGCTTGACTGAGGAAACACAAAAGACTGAGGGAGTGGAGGAGAGGAGGGTCTTTTAAACAGATTAAGTGACGTGTTTCCTGTGTGTGGGGGAGGAGATTCCATCTCGTGATGCTGTCCTGGAAGACGTTATGGGAAATGATGTATATGGGAAATGATGTATAAAGTCACCCCTTCAGAGCAGCCATATGTACAGTTCTTTCCAAGACCCCACAAAATGTATGCATACATATACAAAAAGGGTGCATACAATTACAGCACTCAATACACCATTCCAACAATACATACAGTTCTCCTATCCCTCATTGAGTCATTGCTGATGGTATAGGGTTTATCAGGCATAGCAGTTATGAGATGTTTGAATAACCCCTTACACAGACCCATCGCCCACTACGCTAAACTGTGTTGTGCAAGAGGAAAGTCATATGAAGGAGCAAGCAGAGGAGGCCAGTTCCAGCTTCCCAGCATGGCTCATGGTGTGGTGGGTCACTCAGCTGAAGGAAAAGGTTGAAGTAGGAGAGCATAAAGAAAGTATCACAACTTTAAAAGCCATATTGAATCCTACAGGGGACCAAGTGCACTGAGCAACATAGGTCTGTTCTGATTCGTAGCCCTGTTTTGTCTTTGTTGGCTAAAGAAAAAGCCAGCACTCAAACACTATAAGGGGAATTTATCAAAACCGATGGGACAGAATCTGGAGCAGCTGTACATGGCAACCCATCAGCATTTCAGTTAAACTTTGAAATGAGAGATCAAAGCTGAATGGTTGCCATGGGCAACTGCTCCAGATTCTGATAAATTTCCCCCTCTGTATTAAAATCAGAGGCGTTTGTAGCATATATTTGCAGCAAATCTATGTAGAAGCCACAGTGCCCCATCAAGGCTCCTTTGTATAGTGTGTGGTCCTAATCCAACATAGCACCCATCCTGGGACACACACACACACAGCAATAAACAGATTCAATAGAAGTATGCCTGGAAGTATTCCTCCTTAAAGGTGCAGAGACACACCAGAAGCCCAGCACGCAGGCAGCTAAAGGCCTCCAGTGTGTCCCAGCAATCAGTAACTAGCTTTCTAAAGCAGGGTGCACATTTCCAGCACAATTACCAGCGAGTCAACAAATTTACCACCGTGTCGAAGTGTACCAGGAAACGGCTGACTGGCAAGTGTGCTAGGATCATGCAGTCAGATCTGCATGCCTGTTCTAGGTCAGAAACTCCTAAAATAGCAAGAAGAGCAGCCTGTTTGCTACACAATCTGTAAGTAGTTTACACAATTATATAATTAGTTCATTCTCAAAGAGTTGCTATGCAGAGATTTATGGATGTAATCACACCGAATTACAGACATTTACAAGCAGACTATATACAGACCTCCTTTCTGGGTACAAGCTGGGATCTCAAAATCAATCTCAGGGATCCGGGTTGTTGCATAATCTGTTTTCACCACTTCCCGGTTGATATCCTGTACAGAAAAAAAATGTGTGAAATATGGGTCACATAGAACAACAGCGTTACATACAGAGACACGCAGCACAAGTTGGGTTTTATTTATTTTGAAAGCTCATTTACCACTTGCTGACCAGGTGTTTACACCCCCTTCCTGTCCATTTTCCAGTATTCAGCGCTGCAGTACTTTGACATTTATTCCGTCATGCAACGCTGTACTGAAATGAATTTTATACCATTTTTTGGGAACAGATAGAGCTTTCTTTTGGTGGTAATTAATTACCGCTGGGGGTTTTAATTTTTTACTATATTAAGGAAAAATTACCGAAAATTTTGAGAGAAAAAGTTATGTTATAAAACAGTTATTATTACCCCATTTTTTGGTAAAATATAAAAGACGGGTCAGGTCGGGTAAAAAGACACCAAACATGTCAAGACTTAAAATTGCGCGCACCTGCGAAATAGCAAAAAACGACCATACCCAAAATTGACCATAGGCGACGCTTTAAAAGCTTTTACCGCTCATCAGTTTAGTGTTATCAGTGATTGATGACCCTAGAATTATTGCTCTCACTGCGACGTTCGCGGCGATATATAACATGTGCGGTGTAATGGGCGCAATCATCATTTTCGCACATATGCACACCAGACGCATGTTTGCACGCATGCATGGGTGGGGACTTTAAAAAATGTTTGTGGGTTTTTTTTAAATTATTTTTCACGTGTGACTTTAATGTTCTATTTTTTTTTGCAACTTTAAAAAATTTTTTTTCATATTTTTGCTTTTTTTACTTAATGTTATTATCACATAGGGGGCAAAGAAATCCTGTAAATAGACACCAAACCTGTAAAGCTTAAAAATTGCGCGCAATCGCAAAAAAAACTACCATCCCCAAAATTGACCATAGACGACGCTTTAAAAGCTTTTACCGCTCATCAGTTTAGTGTTATAAGTGATTGATGGCCCTAAAATGATTGCTCTCACTGCGACGTTTGCGGCGATATGTAACGTGTGGCGCAATCGTCGTTTTCGCAGGTATGCGCACCTTATTCATATTTACATGCATATATATGTATGGGGGGGGGGGGGGGGGTTTTTACTCTAACATGTGCGGCGTAATGGGCGCAATCTCCTTTTTTGCACGTATGCGCCCACGACGCATGTTTGCATGAGTGTATGACTGGGGGGGGGACTTTTTAAAAAAAAAATAAGTTTTTAATTTTTTTATGTGTAACTTTAAAAAAAAAAAATTGGAAACTTTAATTTTGTTTCCTATTTTTTTTTCCACTTAACTTTATTGCCATCACATAGGGGGCTAAGAAACCCTTCCTATGTGATAGCAAAAGATGTGACAGGTCCTATTTATGGAGATATCTGGGGTCTCCAAGACCCCTGTCACCTAGGGACCCCCAAAGAAGCTGATGAAGCAGAAATCTGCTTCATCAGCTTCTCTCCAGCTTCTGAAGCCGGAGATTGACACAAGAATGCGGAAGCGATGCAATATACATCACTTCCTGCATTCCGACAACAGAGAGGGGATCGGAGGGAGATTGTGTACCGAACTCCCTCTAATCCCGTCAGAGTCACTATGCTGGTTCTGGGCTCACACCAGAGCTCGGGACCAGCGGAGACAAATATCCATAAATTCATCTTCCGCAATGAGACTGCAACCTTCATACTTAAAGCTGAACTCCAGGAATTTTCTTTCCCAACACAAGATGTTCTCTGAACGAGGGAGGTGATGAGCAAACAACTTCCTATATTCAATACACTGACAGTAAGTCACTCAAGCAGCACCCAGAAGAGACCAGCAGTGAATGTATGTAGCGCAGACTATTAATGTGAATTTCTGCATCCCCAGTGGCCCTCCAGATGTGGTATATGAGGAGTTAGATTTAACCAAGCTGGCCCAATTTGAATTCCTGTTCCGCTAAAGTGCTACCTTCATAGTTTCAGAACCAGAACCTCATTTGCTCTAGTCAGCATACACAGATCCTTACCCTCCTGCTTTGAACACTGAGCGAATATCGGACACCTTGCTCCTGGATCTGACCAGCAGACTGGATCTCCGTGTTGGTCCAACTACACGAGTCACACGAGAATGAACTGACAATGATCTCTTTGAAGAAGGGAACTTTGGTGAGGAGAATTCTCGTCAGTCCCTGAAAAGAGGACACACAAGTACACAATTATTTTACAATTCCATAGGAGGTGTTCTGTGATTCTGGTCTTCACATAAATATAAAACAACCACATTATACCACATCTAAAGACACCTAGTCATGGAAGAACAATGACTGCCTTCAGGAATACTAGCTGGCCTAGATGGCATGAGCAGCTTAGGACTTTAGTGTGACATATTGCCTTCAGATTGGGTTTGTTAAGCGTTTGTATTTTACACCACAGTACTGCATCATTTCAAAGACCTCAATAAACACTGTGAAGGGGCTTGTGTAAAACATGGCGGCAATATGGTGCTGACACGTCTGTGGTCTAAAACTCTGTAGTCAGCGTTTGTCTGTTGCAGGGACACTCCAGTGATGTAGTACCTGGTGGGCAGATGTACAGCACAGCGCTACAGATTCTGGCAGAGGCCATAGCCCTGGCAAAAGTACAAAATGAAGACTCACTCTTCACCATTCTGTACCGGAGAGTGACACTGAATGCAGGCAGTGATGTAATACACATCACTGCCTGCATTCAGAAGAGATCAAACGGAGTTCGTGTACTGAGCTCCATTTGATCTCCGGCCGCAGAGCTGCTGTGCTGGTCCCGGGCTCACACTGCGTACAGAGGAGCTTGGGATCGCCAGCAGCGGCCGCACACTCACACGCATATTACAAGCGATCGGGCGTCTCTACAGATGCCCGAACGCTTGTATGTAAACAGCCATCGCCGACTGTTTACATTGCAGGCTGATTTTGCGCTTCACTAGCGACGGGCACGATCGGGGCGGGATTGGAAGGTTTAAAAACGCCCACCCGCATTCAAGAAGCCGCTGTCCGGCCGTTTAATTACAACGGCCGGACAGCAGGTGGTTAAAGAAACTGTATTTTGGCTTCACCTTTCTTTTGGATCACAGGAGGGCATTTACTAATGCCCTCCTGCGACCCAAAGTCAGCACCTAGCGGGCTATATCCTGCTATATGACAGCATAGACCTGTGCTGCAGATGAGAAAGATCCCGACAATATTGTTGGGGTCCACCCCGCTACCCGATTGACAGCTGCCTCTCTAGAGACAGCTGTGCCCGCCCCTCCCCTGTCTGTCCCTCCGATGAGTGGGAATCCCTGTGGGGAGTGGTGACTGATAGTCATCGCTCTCTACATGGAGGACTTTGAGCTGAGAGATCAGAGGTATGTGATCGCTCGGTTCTAAAGCTATAGAGCCGGCGTATGACAGCTGCAGTGCCACACGCCGGCTGAAAGTAGTGGGAAGAGTACATTTTACTCACAATGCGTCTCCTTTAAAGTCCAATGGTTTTTAAGCTATTTCAAAGGCTGAACTCATCACTTACAATACATCCAGCTCATTGATGTTTACAAGCTTCCTGCAGAATCAGCTGGTCTCCTGATATGTTCCGTTAGACTTACCGGTAACGGTATTTCTAGG